GCATCACGTATAGTGGCGTAGCGCGCTACACATAGTGAAGATGTAGTGCGTTACACGTAGTGATATAGAACATTAAACACGTCGTGATGTAGTGCGTTACATGTCGTGATGTAGAGCGTTACACATCGTGATGTAGTGCGTTACACGCTGTGATGTAGAGTGTTACATGTAGTGATGTAGAGCATTACATATTACATGTAGTGATGTAGTGCATTACATGTCGTGATGTAGAGCATTACACGTGATGTAGAGCGCTACACATAGTGATGTAGAGCATTACACGTGATGTAGAGCGCTACACATAGTGATGTAGAGCGCTACACATAGTGATGTAGAGCGCTACACATAGTGATGTAGAGCGCTACACGTAGTGATGTAGAGCATTACACGTAGGATGTAGAGCATTACATGTAGTGATGTAGAGCATTACATGTAGTTTTGAGTATTGCAGTAGTTATGCAGAATATTACATGTAGTGATAGAGGACTTGGAGCTGTCTTTCATTTCTGAATCTACTGCTCTGCAAAGATGACAGTCCTCACATCTTGCATTTGTAAAGTAGTTGACAGTTTACAAAGCACTCTCATGTATACTGTCTCATTTGCTTATGTTGATTGTAGTATATGCTGGCCTAAAGCTTCAGTGTGATTCTGCTGCAGAATCACAGAATTTCTGAGGGAGAAAGGTTATTTAGTTTGGAGATGGCAACTATGTGACCCATGCGTGCTCATGATAGTCATTGCTAGCTGATCATGGTGCTGTTTCTCATCGAACCCAGCTATGGCCTTAACACAGACTTGCAGGCAGCTGCCTCATTTCAGCTAGATTGGCAGATGAAATGAAATCTAGTGGCCATCCCTGAGCTAGTCCAGTGCCCTCATGTTTTGGAGTGCACTGATGACAAAGACTCTGGTGGTATCCTGCCTGGAGTAGAGGCAGATGTGAAATGTCTTGACAGTTGGGAAAGTCAGTTTTTTCATTTGTGTTCTTGTTATTACTTCTCTTGACAAGAGCTTGGTTTATATGACCTTGGACAATTAAAACACTTTCTCCGTGCCTCTTTTTCTTAACTTGAGATGGAATTAATGCTTGTTTTGCCCAGCTCATACGTAATTGTCAGGGGAAAATAATATCAAAATATTCTAGCATTATTGGGATTGTCTTTAAAACTCTGGAAAATATTTGGGAAGATTAAAAATAGGCCCGTCAGTAGTTCTTTCTTCCTTTATATACTCACTTCTGGTTTTCACCTGACTAGAAGTTGATTTAAATAAATTAAAAGTTGAATTATTTAAAAATTTCGAACCTAGTAATATTTAGCAGTAAACCAAACCTGTTGCTGTCGAGTCAATTCCGACTCATAGCAACTCTATAGGACAGAGTAGAACTGCCCCATAGGGTTTCCAAGGAGTGGCTGGTGGATTAGAACTGCCAGCCTTTTGGTTAGCAGCCAAACGCTTAACCACTGCACCACCAGGGCCCCCTATTTAGCAATAGTTGCCATAAATTGTCCTGCATATAGTTGCTATGAAGTAAGCTGATGATTAAACATAAGCTGAGAAATGTATATTTTTGAGTTTATACCCAAATTATTTTTCGGTTACAGCTTTGTTTTATTCAGTAGCATAAAAATGAACATTTCATAGCCTTTCTTTTCAGCTCATGTATATAATTTAAAAAATTTTTTTTAATCTTATAATAAACACCATCCTAAAAATGTTTCACAGGAAGTTTTATGTTGTATAGTGAGAATACATTTTCTTACTATAATAAGCAAATGTTTTTAAAGTAACCTTTGTGCTATGTAGGAAGGAATTTTTTGTGTGAGAGAGTTGAACCAGTTTCTTATGGAAAACAAATGCAGTTTTCCTTTTGTGTGTACATCAACATTTTGCTTAAAATTAGAGTATAAAAAACAAGTAGTGTAAAATAAACATAATAAATTTGGTAAGGAAGAAACCTGAACAATTTTTACTTTTGTTTATTGTTCTTTGTTAATCCCCATCTAGATTTGGAGGCTGATATGTGGAAGAATTATCTGCCTTGATCTGAAAGATACTTTCTGCAGTAGTCTGCTTATTTATAATTTTAGGATATTTGAAAGAAGATTTGGCAGCAGAAAATTTGCAGTAAGTTTTTATGTGTTTTTCCTTTGCTATTTAGGTTGTGGAAAAAACAATTTTGGTTTTCTTTTTCCTTGTTTTTGAATAGATTTATTTTGTTGAACCCGGTGTTATTGTGTATGATTCTTTTTAATTACATGATCCTGTATCAGATTTGGAGCATGGATGTTAACCAAAGAAAATTTAAACCATTACTATAGTAAAATAATAACAATAATAGAATAATATTGGGTGTCAGTGGATAATAAAAATTCAAACTGGCCCTGATTTTAATAAAATTCCAATCACTTATTTTGCTTAGTGGTTTGTGTGCTACTTGTTAAAAATAAAAATGCTGTAAATGTTATTTCTTCAGCATACTTAGAAATTCTGGAAGCTAATGCATTTGAACAATAAGTTTTACTCCCTCATTCTGAAAAGCTTGTTCTAATAAAAACAAACTTTTTTTTTTTTTTCCTTTTTAATATACCTGCACCAGTTCTAACTAAATAAATAGTCACTTTACTTTTTGGAGTCTCATCTCTATAATTTTCTTCCGTTTTATTTTTTAGTCCTTCTTGCTGGGTTCCTGGGTTTTGTCTGCATTTTTTGACTTCATCCTCGTTGAAGCTCTGCAGTATTCATTTGGTATCACTACAGCCAGTAATTTGCCTTCTGGATTGTAAGTAGCTCTTAAAGATTGGCTTAATTTAGGACTATTTAAACCTCATCTAAAGCATCATTGCACATGAGGATCAATAAAAGAATATTTTAAATTTTTAGGTATAGTACAATTGATTTTGTGTGTAAAAATATCCAATCTATGCTTATATTTTCATTATGTTCTTGATGGAGAATCAATTTTACTTTAATTCTTCTTTCTCCGGATTTGAAATCTATATTTTAGAGAATTTTTAGTGAACTTCATATTGCAGTCCTAAAGATAGATTAATTTTGTGTTTTTGTGTCTTAGTAATTTTCTGAATTAAACACAAAAATACAAAATTAGGTTTGTTTAGGAAGCAAAATTAATTTGAAGTTAAAGTTCTAACGGAAGATTTTTTTAAAATGATATTATTTCTCTACTGCCACCAAAGGTAAAACAAAGTCAGTATATAGGTTACAACTTTGTAGCCAGCCAGCAGTGGCCATCCTAATTCAGAATATGTATGCTTTCATATTTTGTTGATCTTCTTAGGGGAAAAGCAAAACAAAGCAGATGTGAAATAACTAGTATCCAGCAGCAGAGTTTTTAGCACTTATAAATTGCCTTAAATCGTTTCTGCATTAAGAATCTAGGACTATGTTTAGGAGATGCAATAGTATGAAACATCGATTATATATATTATTAGGTGCCATCGAGTCGGTTCCGACTCATAGCGACCCTATTCTGTGTACCATAGCCTTATTTTAACTTTAAAGATAGTTTTTGAGAACTGTTGGTTGATTGTATGTATCTTGATTCAAATTCACTTTGGGTCCCTATTTTAAAAATATAATTAATGTTCTAATTTCACACTTGCATTGTTACTATGTACGACGTTGTAGCTGCCCTTAGTAGGATTTACCAAATCATAGTTGGCATGAGTGTTGACTCATAGCTTCTTTAACAGTGTATGATTTTAAATAATGTTTGAATGGAGACTGATAAAATTCTGTGTCATAATTGTCATGCAGTTTTTGTTGAGTTCCAGAGGTTGTAATTATATTTAGACTGAGAAATTTAGGTTGACTATCATGCTATTGCGGAAAATAACGTGGGTCATCAGGAATGATTTCATATGGATTCAGAAAAGCAGCAGCGTTGCTAAATCATTAGTTTTTCCCAAAACATTTCTCATTCTGACAGTTCTGTATAAGGTCTACTGAGTTTGGAAATGTATATGTGGTTCATGTGCGTTTGTATTAGAATCGGTTTTGGGGATGGATAGTAACATTGCTTTTAATTCTTACGTATACATTGCCCCGTTGTCTTATGTGTTAGAGTTGAAGGACAGTAGAACCTCCACATTCATTTATTTCTTTATGGAATTCTATTAACTGGCACATAAAAAGAGGATTAATTCAATTTTGAAGTTGATGAGAATAATTTTACTTGTTCTAAAGGGAGAAAAGCATTTACCTGTTTAAATCTGTTTGTAGCAAGAGTTGCAAACTTGACTTAAAGATTTAACATGATTTAATTCGGCTATCGCTTGAATGAGAATATTTTTCTCTCCTTTTAAAAATTGCAGTATGACTTTTTTAGAATTTTGAAGCTTTCTTAAATATAGACTTCTTGGAACATAAATCTTTACTTCAATAAATCAACTTGGAATTTTGTAAATATATCTTCTATTGATGGTAGCAAAGCTTCAAAAACTCAAGGCAGAGAGGAACCTACTTTCTCTCTTTTTTAGTCAGAGTGCTTTACAATTTGCAGTGTTTTTCACGTAGCATTTTGTTATGTTTTTCTTTCCCATCAATTCCAACTTTATATGCACTCTCTACAATTCATTTTCTATTTAATGCTCTTTTTTCCTTTAAATTTTATTCGTTTTGTTGTTGGTGAGAATATACACAGCAAAACATACACCATTCAACAGTTTCTGTGTGTACAATTTAGTGACATTGATTACATTCTTCAAGTTGTACAACTATTCTCACCCTTTTCTGAGTTGTTCGTCCCTCATTAACATAAGTTCACTACCCCCTAGGGTTCCTAGCTAATCTTTTGAGTTACTGTTGTCAATTTGATCCCATATAGATGGTTCTTAAAGGAGCATAATGCTTCAACAAGGCGGACCTTTTTTACTAGTTAAGCTAAACCCTTGTTCAGTTTTAAGATGACTTCAGGGGATGGTTTGGTTTAAGGTTTAAAGATTATCTCAGGGCAATAGTTTCAGGGGTTCATCCACCCTCCATGGCTCCAAAAAGCCTAGAGTCCACGCGAATTTGAAATTCTGGTTTACGTCTTCCCCCTTTTGATGAGGATTCTTCTATGAAATCTTTGATCAAAATGTTCAGTAATGGTAGCCAGGCACCATCCAGTTTTTCTGGTCTCATGGCAGAGGCAGTTGTTCATGGAGGCAGTTAGCCACACATTCCGTATCCTCCTCCTATTCCTGACCTTCCTTCTTCATCTATTGTTCCAGGTGAATAGAGACCAATTGTTGTGTCGTGGATGGCCGCTTGTAAGCTTTTAAGACCCCAGGCGCTACACATCGAAACTAGGAGATAGAACAGAGGCACTAAACATGTTATTAGGCGATTAACTGGGATGTCCCATGAAACCATGACCCTAAACCTCCAAACCAGGAACCGAATCCCATTAAATTTTTGGTTCTATAAGCAGCCTCAGCAGCTTTTTTGTTGTTGCTGTTGTTGTTGTAAATGTATCTATCACACAACTTTTGCCAGTTCAACTTTTTACAGGTATACAACTTATTGACAACAATTACAATAATCAGCAGTGCAACCTTACCTTTAATCAATGCAGTATTTACATCATTGTTAATAACCCCTTCTTTCCCCCTCCCTTCCTCCTCTGGTAACCACTAAACTTTGATCTCTATACATTTGCCTTATCTTTTTATATAAGTGAAGTCATACAATATTTGTCCCCTGTGATTGGCTTATTTCACTCCACATGTTTTCAAGCTCCTCCATCCATACTGTAGCATGTATCAAGACTTCCTTTCTCCTACTGGCTAAGTAGTATCCCATTGTATGTATGTACCACATTTCATTTATCCATTCATCTGTTTATGGGCATTTAGGTTGTTTCTACCTTTTGGCTATTGTGAGTAGTGCTGCAGTAAACATTGGTGTACAAGTCTCTTTTTGAGTCTCTGCTTTCAAGTCCTTTGAGTATTTACCTAGGAGTGGAATTACTGGATCATATGGTAGTTCTCTTTTTAGTTTTTTGAGGAACCGCCACACTGTTTTCCATAACAGCTGTACCATTTTGCATTCCCACCAGCAATGGATAAGGGTTCCAGTTTCCCCATATCCTCACCAACATTTTTGGTTTTCTGTTTTTTTTTTTTTTTTTTGTTAATCTTAGTCATTCTAAACCAAAAAAACCAAGCCCATTGCCCTTGAGTTGATTCCGACTCATAGTGACCCTATAAGACAGAGTAGAACTGCCCCATAGGGTTTCTAAGGAGCACCGGGTGTGTTCAAACCACCTACCTTTTGGTTAGCAGCCAATCTCTTAACCACTACACCACCAGGGTTTCCTAGTCATCTCAGCGGGAGTGAAATGGTATCTCATTGTGGTTTTGATTTGCATCTCTCTGATGGCTAATGATACTGAGCATCTTTTTATGTGTTTGGTGGCCACTTGAACATCCTCTTTGGTGAAATTTCTGTTCAGATCCTTTAGCCATTTTATGATTGTTCTTTTTTTGTTAAGTTGTTGAAGTTTTATATATATTTTAATTATTAGAGTCTTGTCGGATATATGGTTTCTGAAGATAATCTCCCAGTTGGTAGCTTATTTTTTCACTTTTTTGGTGAAGTCTTGATGAACAAAAGTTTTTAATTTTTATGAGGTCCCATTTATTTATTTTGTCTTTTGCTGTTTATGCTTTTATATTAGCTAATCCATTGTTGAAAGTGAGGCCTGGTAGTGTTGCTACTGCTTGTTCTTCTAAGAATTTTATGGTTTCAGTTTGCACATTTAGGTCATTAATCCATTTTGAATTTATTTTTTTGTATGGTGTGAGGCACGGATCCTGTTTCCTTTTTCTGCATGTGGAAATCCACTTGTCCTAGCACCATTTATTGAAGAGCCTCTTCTTTTCCCATTGAATGGACTTAGCATCCTTGTGAAAAATCAGTTGGCCATAGACGTGTAGGTTTATTTCTGGACTCTTAATTCTATTCCGTTGGTTTATTTGTCTATTGCTATACTAGTACCAGGCTGTTTCGATTACTGTAGCTGTATAGGATGTTTTATAATTGGGAAGTATGAGTCTTCCTACTTTGTTCTTCTCTTTCAACATTGTTTTAGCTGTTTGGAGCCTCTTGCCATTCCATATAAAGTTGAGGATTGGTTTTTCTATTTCTGTAAAGAGGTCTGTTGGCATTTTGATCAGTATTGCTTTGAATCTATAGATCGCTTTGGGTAGTATTGACATCTTAACAATATTTAGTCTTCCAATCAATGAACATGGAACATCTTTCCATTTATTTAAGTCTTCTTTAATCTCTTTCAGCAATGTTTTATAGTTTTCGTTGTGTAAGTCTGCCACATCCCTGGTTAGATTTATTCCTAGGTATTTTATTCTCTTAGATGCTATTGTAAATTAAATTGTTTCCCTAATTTCCCTTTCACATTTCTCATTGCTGGTGTATAGAAACCTAACTGATTTTTGTTTGTTGACCTTGTACCCTGCAACTTTGCTAAATTCTTCTATTAACTCTAGAAGTTTTCTTGTGTACTGTTTGGGATTTTCTATATATAGGATCATATCATCTATGAATAGAGATAGTTTTACTCTTCTTTTCCAGTCTGGGTACCTTTTATTTCTTTTTCTTGTCTTATTGCTCTGGCTAGGACTCCTAATACAATATTGAATAGAAGTGATGAAAGCAAGCACCCTGGTCTTGTTCCTGATTTCAAGGTGAAAACTCTCAGTTGTTCTCCATTAAGTATAATGTTGGCTTTTCATATATGCCTGGATCATTTTGAGGCATTTTCCTTCTATTCCAATCTTCTTTAGGGTTTTTATCAAGAAAGGGTGTTGGATTTTATCAAATGTCTTTTCTCTTTTTTTCTTTAAACTTCACCACTATTGAAGCTTCTCTTACGAAGGTCACTGGTAACCAGCTAGTTTCTATTTTCAGTCTTCCCATTTGACCTTTCAGTAACACATTAAATGCTTTTGACCCCCTGTTATTTCATGAAGCAACCTGCTCTCTTGAGTCCCAGCACACTACTCTCCTGGTCTTTTTGACCAGGACATCAAACCGGTTCATTTCAGTTCAACCTCCTGCTGAGAATTTGCGTTTTCACCCCAGATATACTGAATCAGAATCTACATTTTAACAGGATGCTGAGATGAGTGTTTTGTATATATAAGATCTTGTTAAAATGTAGATGTGTACATAAAAATCACCTGGGAATCTTGTTAAACTATAGATTCTGATTCAGTATATCAAGTAGAAGTGCAAATTCTCAGCAGGGGGTGGAACCTGACCAACCCAGTTGAAAGCCCTGTTTTTGACCTTAGTTACTGTCTGTAGCTCTTTTCTCAAGCTTATTCCAAGTGGTTTCTTGGAGCTGTCTAGTCCACCGCCATGACTTGAACTATAGCTAACACCTGTTTGTTTGTTTCCTAATTCTCTATTTCTAGTCCATACTAATTTTCTGATCTTTTTAGAGTCGTATTTCCTAATAACATCTGGATTCAAAGAAAACTCAGCATGTTTGGAAGCTCTCATCTCTTCTGGTCTTCTGTCTTTCCCTACCCTCTCCTCCTTCTCGACTTCTTTTTTAGTTAATGCCATTTACATCTACTTAGTCATCCAAGCTGGAAATCTTTCCCTTTTCTCATCAATGGTGTAGGGCACCAAGTCTTATCATTCCAAGTCCTAAATAACTCATTCCTTCATCCCATCCTCTCCCCTACTATCATTATTCTAGTCCAGACTGTAGTATTTTCCTGCAAAGTCTCCCTGTCAATTTCAAGGCACTCCATGCAATACTATCAGAAGTTATCTTTCTAAAATATAGGTCTGGCTATGCCAGTCTTCCTTTTAAAAACCTTTGAGCCCTCATTCCTTTCTGAATAAAGGTCATACTCCTTTGAAAAGCCATTATGGCACTCTGAAATAGTGGGAATGACGTGGCCTTTGCCATCAGACAGACCAAAAAGTAGAGATTCCACCTCTGCCACTTACTGGGTATGTGTGATCTTGAGCAAGGTAATTCTCTCAAATTCCATTTCCTGATCTCAGTTTATAGATGAACCGCATATGTAAGTTGGAGTACTCTATACTTCATAGGGCAGTGGAAAAGATTAAAGTCAGTAACACAAAGAACCTAACAGTAGAACCCACATTATGTTGGTTTTCTTCTTCCCTTTCAAAGCCTTCATAATCTGACCTCAATCCAGTGTTTTAAGCCACTTCTTTTAAAAATAAAAACAATGAATTTGTTCATAAAATGAATGTTTCCACAATAATAAGATCCCACAAAAGAGTTTTTAAAGTTTATTTTTTCCAGGAGAGAAAGGACTTAATAATATCATACAGAATATCCTTCAGCCTGACCCTAGAGTAGTTATAAAGTGAATTTTAAAGAGATTGGGAAAAAAGAAAAACTTTTCTATCATTCATAGCATTTCACTGTTTATGTTGCTTAGTGACCGTGAACTACCTGATCGAAAAGTCTTTCTGCGCATGCTCCGAAGGTAGTTGCGGTACAGCATGACACTAATGACTCGAGCTTGAAATTGTTTTGAAACAATGTAGTAGAGAATAACATCCAGACATGTGCTGAGGTTCATGAGGAAGGTGGTAAAGGCTCCCCAGGGACTGTAACTGTTTTCTTCCCCTGCCAGCATTAGGAAAGCAAAACAGATGTGGAAAGGTGTAAAGCAGACAAGCACTTGTACCACGAGAGTGATGATGATTCGGATAGACTTCTCCTTGACTTTTGGTTTCAGCTTTGATGTCCTGCCGTGGAGGAGACTATGAATAATGACCAAGTAGCACCCAATCATGATGAACAGAGGAAGCAAGAAAAAAAATATCAGTCGAGTGAAGTTGAACATGTTAGCGGCTTTTAAGTGGATAATGTCAGAAATCTTCAGGCAGGTGGCAGGGTTGGAGGCTTTATCTGGGTCTTCATATAAAAATAGCAGAGGGATTGTGGTCAGCAGCGTCATTACCCAGATTCCCACACATGCTAGCACGGCTTTGCATGTGTTTTTAAGTTCTTTGGCATATTTTGGCTGCACAATGGCCATGTATCTGTCCGCACTAATAAAAGCAAGAAGCCATAGAGCAATACTGGGGTAAAATATGGTGAGAGCACCAAGAATCTGGCAGAAAACCTCTCCAAATGGCCATTCACCTTTTGCATAATAAAACATTCGAAAGGGTAAGGTCAGTATAAATATTAAGTCCAATAGTGCCACATTCATCATATAGATAGTTACGGTAGTTCTCTTCTTGGTGGTACAACTGAAAACCCATAATGCGGTGACATTAACGAACAATCCGACTATGAAGATACAGCTGTAGAAGACAAGGGCAGCAATTTTGTATTCTTCTGGATATAAGCTTTTAGAAGCAACAGGTTGATATTGATAGTTAGGGGTAGTCATCTTATATCTTGTTGGTAGGCATGATACTCAGAAACTGAAAAAAATGAAGGAATAAACGTATGTATTGACATATATATTGAAATATAAATGCTTAACATTTTCACACTCAGCTTGGCATGTCAGTGGATTTAAATTTTGAGAAGAGTTTATTGTTAACAGTCAATGTTTGTGTCTTAGTATTTGTTAAGGAATATATTCCCTAGATATTATTACTAATATGTAGTGACCTATTAAAAAAGAGTGTCATAATGAACAAATTTATTCATTTTTTTCTGTCCCTTCCCATCTCCCTCCTCCCCAAAAGAATTCCCGTTTTGTCATGATTTTTTTCTGTAGTGTGAAATTGGGCAGCAGTTTTTCCTATAGTAAGCATTCTTTGATTTGGATGAATTGGGAGAAGACTGTTCTGAATTTTGATTCCTATAAAATAGTTTGCCACTTTTTCTCATCTTCATTCTGTTTAAATATTTTATAACCTAGACTAGTAATGCCCTGATAATGAATTTTTACTCATTAAATACAATTTTAATATACAAAATAGATATTCAAAACTAGTAAAGGAGCCACACAACTGGTTAATCACTAAACATTTATAGTAATTTTCACTTGAGGGCAAGTTAGCCATTAAACCTTTTTTTTTTTTTTTTTAAAGTGGCAAACCCTTCTTTCATAATATCTTTTGTTCTCTTTAAATTATCTAGAAACAGCTATGTCTTGTACCACAGTCTACAGATCAAGAACTTGATTCTTGGAACAACAGATGAGCTTTTTTATAATGCTCATTTGGGAGTGCCTCATGCCCAGTCTTCCAGGTTGTGTTTACCCAGGACCTAGAAGCTGATTTCATCTGCTGCAGTAGTGCACAGAAAGCAACAGTTTCTAAGGACCATGAAAATAATACATTGCCAGGATAGCTTTCCATACCCTCACTCTACCTCGATACAGAAGCTTAAGTATTATTTATCAAATTACATTTTAAAAAGGAATATCAAGGATAAATATTAAGTCACTTGATGTGTATACAGAAACAAATTCGCATTATCAAGAAATGTCCATTTTTAATGGAAAGGAGTTCAGTTGTGATTATAAACACCACTGACCCCTTAGTGTTAAACTTCCATCACCCATGATGCAACACTAGCAACACCAGCAGAGGTTTCAGAAGTAGACTCAGTACAAAGGGACGGAAGCTTGTGGCATCCCTGTGAAATGTGGAGGTGTACGAAAAGTTTCCTTAAAAATGTTAATTTGCAGAGTGGGTTGTCTCTAATTCAGCCCTGAATCTGTCTTTATTGAAGACTGGGGGGGAGACTAGCAGTCTGTGATCAGTGGCATCATGGGCTGTTCGTAATGAAGAATTAATTTGAGCAACTGCTGTGGACAGACACAAGATAGGAGTTTTTCCTCTCTCTCCTTTTCTCTTTCCTTCATTCCTTTGTTCTTTCCTTCTTTCGTTCCTTTTTTCTTGCTTAAAGCTAGTTTGCCAAATATTTAAGTTAAATAAGATTTGGGAATACAGTTCTATATATTTAAAAACCTGTATTAATTACAATTTTCAAACATTTGCATGACTAGAATATTAATTTCTATCAAGTGACGAAAATGCTGCACAGAAAAATTAAATCTCCAGTATCATACAGAGGAGAACAATTTTAGAGGCTTGACTGTTATTTTTACTTTCAATGAATTTTTTAATAGTAGCAATTGTAATGTAAATTAAATTTTGTATTCTTTTTTCTCTCTTAGTATTGTATTGGGACTCCCTCCACCTACCCTTATCTCCTAATTTTGTCACATAAATTCCATACTTAGAAACCATTTTTGAGTAAATCTCTTCCACCAGTTGAACTCAAGCTGCTCTTTATGTATTCTATGGGAGCCTGGTGGTACAGCGGTTAAGTGCTATATGACTGTTAACCAAAAAGTCAGCAGTTAAAATCTACTAGCCGCTCCTTGGAATCCCTACGGGGCAGTTCTTCTCTGTCCTATAGGGTCACTGTGTTTTGGAATCAACTGGATGGCAGTGGGGTATTTGTCACCAACATTTGCATTCATGTGCTTAAGTCTGAAAAAAATGTGAGTGATACTTGTGTTTTAAAGGCATTATCAGTATAGATTGTGCTCTGCACACACAGAAAGAATTTTGGATAATTACTGAAAAGTAATTGGCTTTCAGATCAGCTTTTTAAAAGCTTTAGATTGTTCCATGATTATCTGTAGTTTTTTTTTTCCTTAGAAGCCATAAAGTACATTTCATGAAACAGTGTAATTGAAACTGTGTGTTGAAGAGTCTTAAGTATATTTATGATTTGTCATATCAACATTTCCTTAAACTAAAAAAAAATTATCATTAATGTAAGACAATATTGAAAATAAATGTAAATAGGAATAAAAATAATAATTGACCATCTCAAAAAAAAAAGAAAATAAATGAAGAATCATATTAGTAATATGGAAAGATGATAACATAATCCATTTCAAGGTTTTTCACCAACATGGTTTCAGTAATATAAATATTAGTGAAATAAAATAATGATTTTAAAATTTAGTAAGTAAATTATTAATTCTGATAATGATCTATGATGAAGTTAATTAAATGCTGCTTACCTCCTGTCCTTCAAAAAGCTGTGCCAGAGATGAACATTTTTCAGTATGCCCAGTTCTGTAAAAGAGATATCCTTTGATGGCTTGTGTTAAAATATAGCACTTTCTGCAAATGATAAATATACAAAATGGTATATTTCTTTTGTTTTCGGCACTTTTGTTGCATTAAAAAGATGTTTCAGACATAACCAATTCAGACATAGGTGTAGGAGTTGGTGCCTGGTCCGCTGTAGTTGCTGCTTCGTTTCTTTCAGGAAGTGCTTAGAAAAAGTTTTCTTTTAACTTATGACTTTACCCTGGATGTGGTTTTTCCCTTTCACAAATGATTTGTTTATGAAGTCACGTTTAGCATAAGCCCGCCTTGAAATGAAGGCATATATTTAAAAAAAAATACAAAAATGGGAAAATTACTTCAATTAGTTTACTTTGGTGCTTAAAGTCTGCGTCATCTATGGAAAAAGAATGAGATTTGATGTTGAGTAGAGCCGGTTTCAAAGCCTAGCTTATCCATGGCTTCTTCACTTTCTAAGCTGTGTGACTTTGTTTAGTTACTTGACTACCTGAGCCTTTGTTCCTAGTTTCTGTACAGAAAAAATACCCATTAGTCAGATAATAACCATCAGTAGGATTGTGAGGAGTCTAAATCAGAAAAATGCAGAGCACTTAATGTAGTACCTGGCACTTAGTAGGTACTCCTAAATAGAGTCCAGTGCCTAAACAAAGCACCTAAAAATCATAGAATATCCACTTTTTACTATTTAAACATTTCTAAATGGTTCAAATTTGGGACCCTCAGTTTTTTGCTTCTGCTTTTCATATACATTTACCCACTTAAGGTTCTCTAATTTTTTAAGTCCCTGATGCTTCATTTCTCTTTTCTGTCATATAAAAGTCTAGAAATGATTTCTGTTGCCTAAAGATCTCTGCAAATGCTAAGAAGGGACTCAGAGTCTTTACTGGAATTATTTACATATAAAGAGTATTTTAGCCAAAAACAGAAATGAAACCAATGGAAAGGGAAGTGATAGTTCAAATTGAGCAATTTAATCATTGCCTACCTTATTATATTCAGTTTTTTACTTTCTCTTTTCTTTTTTAAAAAAAAAAAAATCTCATTTTGCTTGTCCTGAGATTTTAATTATTTTTGTATTTGGTTATATATGATTTGTTAACTTTAAAAGAACATGAATTTAACTGCATTTGTGTGTTTTAAATTTAATATAGTTTGAAGACCCATGCTCTGTTTTTTCTCAGACAAAATAGTAGTATAAGTCCTTGTCTTTGGAGAGAAGTTAATATGGATCTCCTTTCCACTTAATTTTATAAATTATATAAATTTAGTACTCCCCAAATTCCTTTTCCCAAGCAATTTCTGTGCAGCTTTAAAATTTTATAGACCTGTAGACAATCTGACAGTTACTTACCTCAGAGCAAAAGAATATGATGAGGTGGTAAACCAATAGAACCCAGATATAACCAAAGTGATAGATAATCCTAATTGAAATAGATCTAAATCAACAATGAAAGTAGAGTTCCCTAAAGATATTGAAGACTGTATCAGTTGGAGGAGAAGGCTGGTATATGGCAGCGAAATCAGTCCTGGGGCCACTGGAGTCCCCAGGCCAAGAGTTTGCAGTGTGATGTTTCAGTAACTGAAGAGTGATACAATCAAAGTCCTCAGGACAGTTGATTGAGTAGAACCCTGTGGTTACTGTGATGTACACGACATCCTTCTACAAATTCTAATCTCACAGTTAAAGAACGAAAAGACATGGAGATGACTATACAGGAAGAACACACCTGGTAATATGAGGACGTAGCAGTTCAGAAGAAAGAGTGATTGTGGAGGATCACGATTGGTGAAGAAATGACAGATGTGTTACTGTGTTATTTAAATATAAACCTGTATACTGGTTAGTGTGTATATAATTGAAGATTTAGATATACAGGTATCTGTATATTAAAAAGTAACCACATATCTATAAGGTTAAAAGTTATTGGTTTAAAAAGAATTACTTAGGATTTTTTTTATTATCTCTGCCATTAATCTTATCTGTATTACTGAAGGTAGGCAAAGTTGAATAACCATCAGGCAGTGTTCTAAGCTTTACATGCATTATCTAATTTAATCTTCATGGAGACGGCAATGTGTGCTGAGGACACAATAGTATATTTACTCATGATTCTCAGATTGTATGCTCTTTCTGTATTTTGTATTATTTTATTATATTTTGCTATAGTAATCTTTATTGAAGTTGGCCCTACTTAATTGAGACTCATCAGAATAATAATTTGACCTAGCAAAAAATCTCCTGAGGGAATAGACTGTCCATCCTTTCTTTTCCATGTTTCTCACTACTGAGCTGATATTCCCAAGGAAAGGTTTTGTGACTTGTATTCTGTCAGCCTGTAAATTTAACTTCGGTGCCTAGGAAGATCTCTGCAATTCAATATTTACCAGTCTTTGAGAATACCTCTTTATGGCTCATTGCTGAAAGGAAAATGATAGCTGCCTCAAAGTGGGGAGCTGGGCCAGGTGATCTCTGAGGGACCATTCAACTGATCATGGACTCATGAAATGTTAAATTGGAAGTGGCTTTACAAATCACCTTTTAACTCCCTCATTTTGTAGTTAGACGATAACTAATGGCTGAGATTATTTAAGCACATTTAATGACAAAGCTGGGGTTAGAACTTGGGCTTTTGATTCATGGTTCTATGATTAAAAAGCAAATTTTTAAAAATTTAGCCTGCTTAGAATTTCATTAGTTGGTTGCTGTTTCTTGAGAATACATATATAAGCATTGGAAAAATTTTTGTGATCTACCTCAAAATTTATATCTCAAAATTTGTTAGAATACAGATTTCTGGGCCCTAAGAAACATGCTCAGTGTGTTTGGGATGTGGCCTTGGAATCTGTTTTCTAACTAGTACCCAAGTGATAATGAAGCTGATTGTCTGTGGTGTAGACTGTTAGAAACTCTGTCGAAGGTATATTTGGGAATTTGAGAGTTAATCATGAAGAGAATTCCTGCAAACACACACAACAGTTGAATCATCCAAGGCAAAAATTGGTTCTTTGAAAAACACTAATGATAATGATAAATTCCAAATGAGACTTATCAAGAAAAAGAGAAAGAAAGCACAAATTTCTGATACCAGAAATGAAAAAGGGGGCATCACTACACATCCTTCAGACATTAAAAGGATACTGAGGGACCGAGCCTTCTTTGTCATGGCTTCTTCCCTTCTCTCTGTTGACAGCTGATAGATACCCACAAATGGAATTACTATAAAAAAAGGGCCAGTTCTGGCCTCTTCTGGCACTTTGCTCACCCACACAGTACATTCTTCCTGGCACATCAGGACTAGAGAGAACTTCTGCTCTAACCAGTTCAGCTTAACCTCCTCCATTTTTTCTGGACCTTGGTGTCCTGGCTTTCTTAACCATCATATGATCCCCGCTTTTGACTATTTTGCTTTCATAGTCCCATTAGACTGCTAAGCCAGGCGCACCCCTCCCACAAAAGAAAAACAAAAAGCGTTTTTTATTTTGAAAAATGGTCAAACACATAGAAATTTGCAGTGAAGTCTTGTTTAGTTTTCACCTGAATTCATCAATGGTTAATATTTGGCCAAATTTGTGTGTGTTTGTACGTGTGTGTGTGTGTCTGTGTGTGTGTATATATGTGTGTCTCTCATTCAGTATGTGTGTATGTGTACATATTATCCTTTTTTTTGAACCATTTGAGAGTAAATTATAGACCTCATGATTCCTTACTCTTAAATTCTTTTACATATATTTCCTAAGTATAAGAACATTCTCTTAGGTACTTATAGTTATCAAATTCAAGAGACTTAACATTGTTTCAGTATTATTCTCTAATATATAGTCCATATTCAAATTTTGCCAGTTGTCTCAATAGTGTCATTATAGCATTTTTCCCCCCAAATCCATAATCACATGTTGTGTTTAGGTGTCTGGTCTCTTCTAAGCCAGCATTTAATACCTATTTTTGACCATTTAGGTTTTGCTGCCTCAGATTATTATACCTTTATAATCTGAGCTGTGAGATTCTCTCTCCTAGATATAACTGTCAGAGATAATCCAGCCTGGGTAGGACAGACCCAGATGCCATTGTTTAAAAGATCCAAGCTCTGGATAGTTAGTCCCTCCCACCATGTCCTGCCCTGTGGTAGGGGCAGTGAAAGCAGAGGATTCACTTTGATGGGGCACTGCCTACCGTGACTGTGATGGCCGCCTACTTCATTTGGGAACAGCCAAGATTGACCTTAAAGCTGAGCCCATCTTTGGGCTTGTCTGTACTTGCTTGTAAGTTGATAAAAGCTGTAAAGAGCAGTAAACACACTACCTCCACAGACTGAACACTGTAAGGGAAAATGACCAGTAGCAGAGTAAACATTTCCTTGGAGCCTAAAACAGTCATCTTAGGTAGAATGATCATGACATTGTGGTATATGGAGCAGACCTCACCATCAGAACAGAGGTTCTACAGGAGAGGAGTGTCCTCTTGTTCAGGCCACAAACATGCTTCAGTGATGAGAAATATGGTTGTTACCAGCAGTGACCACAGATGGAGTGTAAATAGGTCACATCCTTCCAGGAACCAGTCTAGTGGAGTGCATAGTGTTAAACTTTGAAACTGAATGGACCCTTCCATCTGAACCCAGAGGGCAGCCCTCTCTAGAGAAGTCTTGGACAGCGAGAGCAGAACAATCTTCTGGACAGTATGTATATAATAAAGACTGAGACAACCTTACAAAATGATAATAAGATGATGTGCTGATAAATTAGAAAATTACTATATTTTTACACAGATAACACATGACTTCTACGTTTGTTTGCCAACCGCGCCCTCCCCCCTGAGGAATTTTTATAAGTGCGCTATGCAAATTTTTTTTTTTTACAGCAACAAGTAAAAAAAAAATCGGCATAGTGGCGCTTATGAAAATACCTCGCAGGGGGAAGGCGTCGTTGGCAAACAAATGTAGAAAGTACACGTTATTTGCGTAAAAATATGGTACTTCAAATGGACGTATTTGTAGAAAAATATATTGAAACTGACACTGGAAGAATAGTCCTCTATTAAAAAAAATTAAATGATAATTAAAAATCTTACCATAAAGAATAGGCTAATATGACTTCACCAGTGCATGTCACCAAACATTGAAGGACAAAATAATACCACTCTTATATGAATTCTTCCAGAGAATAGAAAAAGAGAGAGCATTCTCCAACTGCTTCTATGAGACAAACCATAACCTTGATAACAAAACCTGCTAAGGATTTCACAAGACAGGAAAGTTATAGACTGACCCTTATACATGAACACAGATGCAAAAATTCTGAACAGTATTTTGAAAACCAAATTCAGCAATATATGAAAAGGATAATATATTCTAAACAAAGTTGGATTTATTTCAGGAGTGCAAGATTGGTTTAAAATTGAACATCAATGTAAATTCATCCTACTATAAGAATTAAGGAGACTACAATATGATCACCTAAATGGATGCAAAATGTGTAATTTGATAAAATCGAACATCCATTCATAATTTAAAAAAGAATTAGAAATAGATGGGACTTTTCTTAACCTGAAAAAGGATTTCTACAAAAAGGCTACAGCAAATACAGTAGAATAATGTTGACAGCTTTTCCTTTGAGATTGGGAATAAGATAAAGATGTCCATTATTACAACTTTTTCAGTGTTATACTTGAGATACTAGCCAGAGGGATAAGGCAAATAAGAAATAAGAGGTAAAAGACTGGAAAGTAAGAAATGGTCTTTATTTGAAGATTATATGATGTATATATTGAAAATTTAGAATTTACAGATAAATTATGTTTAGCAAGGTTCCTGGATATACAATAAATATATAAAGTTAATTGCGTTTCTATATATCAGCAACAAATAGTAAGTGGAAATCTTTAAAAAGATACTATTTACAATAGCATGAAAAACATTAAATATAGTAGTCCCCCCTTATCCACAGTTCCAGGTTCCATGGTTTCGGTTACCTGTGGTCAACCACGGTCTTGAAAATATTAAATGGAAAATTCCAGAAATAAACAGTTTATGAGTTTTAAATTGTGTGCCATTCTGAGTAGCATGCTGAATCTTGAACTGTCCCACCCATGAGGTGACTTATCCCTTAATCCAGCATATCCATGTTGTATATATACTACATGTCCATTAGTCACTTAGCAGTCTCCGTTATCAGATCAGCTGTTACGGTATTGCACTGCTTATGTTCAGGTAACCCTTATTTTACTTAGTAATTGTTCTATTTTATTATTAGTTATTGTTGTTAATCTCTTCCTGTGCCTAGTTTATAAATTAAACTTTATCATAGGTACGTGTGCATAGGAAAAACCATAGTATATATAGGTTTCAGTACTATCCACAGTTCCAGGTATTCACTGGTGGTCTTGGAACATATCCCCCATGGGTAAGGGAGGACTGCTGTACCTAGTAATAAATTCAGTAGAAGATATGTAAGACTTCTGTGCATAAAATTATAAAACCATATTAAGAGAAATTAAATAGACCTAACTAAATAATAGAGTATGCCGTGTTCATGGATTGGAAGACAGTATTGTGAAGATGCTCCTTTTTCTCAAATTGGTATATAGATTCAATGCAACAGAAATCTCAACAAGTTGTAAGTTTGTTTGCTTGCTTGTTTTTGATGGGACTTAACAAGCTAATTCTAAAATTTATATGACACTGTAAAGGACCAAGAGTAGTCAGGCACCCTGGGGAGGCCCTGGGGGATGTGGATGGTTACTCAATGGCAACTAACAACAACTGGAGGAAGAGCAGGCAGGAAGGATTGGCTCTACCAGCTATCAAGATGTATTTATAAAGATTCAGAAATTAACATATTGCTTCTGTTATTAGTAGCCGTTGAGTGGATTCTGACTCATGGTGACCCCATGTGTGCAGAGTAGAACTGCTCCATAGGGTTTTCAAGACCTTTCAGAAGCAGATCACCAGGCCTGTCTTCCAGAGTGCCTCTGGGTGGGTTTGAACCACCAACCTTACGGCCAGTAGTCGAGCACTTAACCACTTGTGCCACCTAGAGGCTCCTAGATAAATAACTGATGGAATAGAATAAGTAAATAATAGAGCTATGCCTGTGTGAATACTTGATTTATTATAAAGGTACCACTGCAGAGCAATGAAGAAAGAGAAGGCTTTTTAGTGAATGGTACTACGTCAGAGATTCATAGTGGAAAAAAAGGAAACTTGAACTCTACCTAACACCTTATACAAAAATCAGTTCCAGATGGATTGTAGCTGTAAATATGATACACAAAGCAAAGTTTTTAGGAGATAATATAGGAAAATGCTTCATGACCATGGTGCAGAGAAGGGTTTCTTAATAGGACATAAAAAGCACTAACTATAAAGGAGAAGATTGATAAATTTCACAAAATTAAAATTCAGCACTTGTCTTTATCAAAAGATACTATTAAGACTCAAGAGGTAAGCCAAGTGATAGGGTTATTTTTGTTAGGTGCCATTGAGTCGGTTCCGACTTGTGATGACCCCGTGTACAGCAGAACGAAACACTGCCCGGTCCTGCACCATCCTCACAATCATTGCTATGTTTGAGCCCATTGTTGCAGCCACTGTGTCAGTCCATCTTGTTGAGGGTCTTCCTCTTTTTCAGTGACCCTCTACTTTACCAAGCATGATGTCCTTCTTCAGGGACTGGTCCCTCCTGATAATATGTCCAAAGTACTAGAGATGAAGTCTCACCATCCTCGCTTCTAATGAGCATTCTGGCTGTACTTCTTCCAAGACAGATTTGTTTGTTCTTCTGGCAGTCCATGGTATATTCACTATTCTTCACCAACACCATATTCCAAAGGCATCAATTCTTCAGTCTTCCTTATTCATTGTCCAGCTTTCACATGCATATGAGGTGATTGAAAACACCATGGCTTGGATCAGGCCCACCTTAGTCCTCAAAGTGACATCGTTGCTTTTAAACACTTTAAAGATATCTTTTGCAGCAGATTTGCCCAATACAGTACATCATTTGATTTCTTGACTGCTGCTTTCGGGTGTTAATTGTGGATCCAAGTAAAATGAAGTCCTTGACAACTTCAGTCTTTTCTCCATTTATCATGATGTTGCTTATTGGTCCAGTTGTGAGGATTTTTGTTTTCTTTATGTTGAGGTATAATCCATACTAAAGGCTGTGGTCTTTGATCTTCATCAGTAAGTGCTTCAAGTCCTCTTCACTTTCAGCAAGCAAGGTTGTGTCATCTGCATATTGCAGGTTGTTAGTAAGTCTTCCTCCAGTTCTGATGTGCCTCATTCTCTTCATATAGTCCAGCTTTTTGGATTATTTGCTCACCATACAGATTGAATAAGTATGGTGAAAGGATACAACCCTGATACACACCTTTCCTAACTTTAAAGCACACAGTATCCCCTTGTTCTATTCGAATGACTGCCTCTTGGTCTGTGTACGGGTTCCTTATGAGCACAATTAAGTGTTCTGGAATTCTCATTCTTTGCAATGTTATCCATAATTTGTTATGATCCACACAGTCAAATGCCTTTGCATAGTCGGTAAAACACAGGTAAACATCTTTCTGGTATTCTCTGCTTTCAGCCAGGATCCATCTGACATCAGCAATGATATCTCTGGTTTCACGTTCTCTTCTCAGTCCAGCTTGAATTTCTGGCAGTTTCCTATCAATGTACTGCTGCAACCGGTTTTGATTTATCTTTAACAAAATTTTACTTGCATGTGATATTACTGAAATTGATAATTTCTGCATTCGGTTGGATCACTTTTCTTTGGAATAAGCATAAATATGAATCTCTTCCAGTTGGTTGGCCAGGTAGCTGTCTTCCAAATTTCTTGGCATAGACAAGTGAGCACTTCCAGCATTGCATCCGTGTGTTGAAACATCTCTATTGGTATTCCGTCAGTTCCTGGAGCCTTGTTTTTCGCCAATGCCTTCAGTGCAGCTTGGACTTCTTCCTTCAATACCATCACTTCTTGATCATATGCTGCCTCCTGAAATGGTAGGATGTGTGAATGTGAGCCAGCAGAGACCTGGGGGTCTCTGCCTTCATATTTTCTGCATGGAAACCTTAATATTTCCAGTATTCATTTAATAAAATGAAAGCCTTGAAACGTACCTGCTGGTGTTTGGGGCCTTGATGGGGTCATGCTACTTCCTGGCCTTTGCCCTCCTTTCATCATACTTTTTTTGGGGGATGTTGTTCTTTAGTGTGTGTATTTTTATCTTATCTTTAATTTTTAAGTTGGCTTATTCTCCTTAACATATTTGATTTTATTTACTCTTTAGAAATTTTCTCATTCTAGCTGATTATTAGCTAATTTGTTACCTACTTTTAACTCTTTCTCCTTTAACCATTACTTTTATGTACGGCAAGCTGGGAGCGCAGCTGCAAGAATGGGCCAGGTCTGAGGATAGCCCGTTTCCTAAGCCAGACAAGCTCTCTCATCCACTTGATCCCCCCACAACTCTCCCAGAAGAGCTGTAGCTCCTCATAGTGGAGAATGTCTTGAAGACATTATAATCAGCCTGCTGAGGAAGACATGAAAAGTGTGTGAGATGTAACCAATGTCACTGAACAATATGTATATAAATTGTTAAATGGGAACCTAATTTGCTGTGTAGGCTTTCAGCAAAAACTCAATAAAATATTTTTTAAAAAGAAAGAAAGAAGGAAACAGTATAGTTTGCATGTACTTATAAGAAAATGCAGTAGTAGTGGAGTTTCACCAGGAAAGGGCTGGTTATGGACTGAATTGTGTCCCCTACAGTATATGTTATATGTTAGAATATATGTTAGAATCCTAACTCCCTAGACCTG